AAAAAAAAAAAAAAAAAAAAAAAATCCTGCAAAAACCAAAAGATGTGTACAATGTATATATGAACAATGTGCTTATACCAAAACATAAACTTGAACTGCAATATGGCAATCAATGAGGCAAATCTACACAAAACAATAACAAAATCTCTCCTCGAAACATTTGTTAAAAGATGAAAAAAACACAACCTATTCACATAACACAATCAATCAACAATCACAAAACATCATGGCCTCATTCTTCTAAAAATGAAAGAAAAATCCAATCTTTAAATGCCACAACAAATATCAAAATTCACAAGGAGATTATAAGGTATCAAAAGGGCTGTCAGAAAATAAATGAAATTCGAATGACAAATAATCAAGAAACAAAGAAGAAAAATAAAAAATTAACAAGATAAAGTCGCCACCTTTTGAATCAATCAAATTCTTTAATCAGCAACCCATTTGTTGATATGATTTTTTAAATTCGTAAGCTTAAGAAATAGAAGAGAGATCGTGCAAGCAACGCCTTTAGAGAGAGGTTTTGTGTGCGTGTATTTGTGTGTGAGAGAGAGAGGTATGAATGAGCTCTCAGATGGATGGACGGCGCCATTTTTCATTTGCTCTGGTTATTTTGTTCTTGTCTCCTTCGCATAAATAGGGTAAACAGTTTAAATATGTAATAATTGTGTGTAAATCAAATTTATTTTTCCAAATAAAGTGGTCAATATTGAGAAAATAGAATTTCTAGATTTTTTACTATTTATGTTTGGTAGCTTATAAGCTTCCTATACTCAAATAAGACTCGTTTGGTATCAAACGAGCTTTTTGAAAAAACTCGAACTTATTTGATAAACTTCCTTAGGTAGCTTTTCAAGTAAGCTAGTTGAATTTTTTATTCCAGCTAGTTTATCAGCTAATTTTACCAAACAGTTTTATCATATAAGCTAGCTTTTCAGCTATAAGTCATAAGCTATAAGCTATAAGCTAAAAAATTATTGATAAGCTATCAGCTAGCTTATCAGCTAGTTTTACCAAACATATGCTATGTTTGGTAAACCAAATAAACTAGCTTATAGCTTATTTGGTTAGCTTATAAGCTTCCTGTATTCAAATAAGCCCCGTTTGGTAGGACGAGCTTATTTAAAAAGCTCGAGCTTATTTGATAAACTTGTTTAGGTAGCTTTTCAAATAAGCTGGTTGAATTTTTTATTCCAGCTAGCTTATCAGCTAATTTTACCAAACACTTTTATCATATAAGCTAAATTTTCAGCTATAAGTCATAAGCTATAAGCTATAAGCTTGAAAATTACATATAAGCTATAAGCTAGCCTATCAGCTAGCTTATCAGCTAATTTTACCAAACATAGCCATAGAAACTAGCTGATAAACAAGCTGATAGCTGATGAGCTAGCTTATAGCTTATCAGTAATTTTTTAGTTTATAACTTATGACTTATAGCTGAAAGCTAGCTTATAATTTATATGATAAAAGTGTGGTAAAAATTAGATGATAAGCTAGCTGGAATAAAAAAAAAATCAACTAGCTTATTTGAAAAGCTACATAAGGAAGCTTATCAAATAAACTCGAGTTTATTAAAAAAACTCGTCCTACCAAACGAGGCTTATTTGAATACAGAGAGCTTATAAGCTAACCAAATAATATATAAACTAGCTCGTTTGTCTAGTAAAACATAAAGCGAGATGTGGGAGGGATTATGAAAATCTTTAACTAATTAATACCCATAAACCTATTCTTATAGAATTATTGAAACAATTCCTGGGTGATGAAATTCACAAATCCACTTGGCACAAGCTATAAGTCCACCAATTTTGGATAAGTAGAGATATTAGTGAGCACAACTTAATGTGCTTATATTGTTTATTTATTTGTGTTCTTTATGAGATAGCTTATATCTTACTTATTTAATTAATTTATAAATGAATTTAAATAAGTTTGATTTTATTTTTTTTATCGAAAGCTCGAACTCATGTCATTTGCTTCTTTACATGGTATTTTATTGTGATTTTCGTATCAACGTTTTGTCAGTTAATTTTTACCAATCACTTTGATTATATCGGTTAATTTTTCAATTATCAGCTATTAGTTTAAAAATTAATTAACCATTGAATTTTCTAAGTAAAATATCCATGTTGCAAAAAAAAAAAAAAAAAATTGTTGAATATGATAAATTTGTATTGATAAAAATGTTAGTTTGAGAACAGTTAATTCAATGGGTATTTGGTCTGCACCACCCATAGTTTTGACAAATAATTCATTATTTGTTGAGGTTGGGTGGAAAATATTATAAAAGCTGATACGTCTAAATATTAGAAATTGGTTAACAATATGTGAAATCGTTGACAAATCGTTTTAATTATCCATCACACGGTTTGCGTTCAATTTCAAACCACTAATTAACCACCTAATCTTAGGTACAACTATGTTTGTTAGACCAATAAATTAACTTATAGTTTATTTAATTAACTTCTAAGCTCCATGTATTTAAATAGTTCAAAATATTTGTGCCTACAAATTTATGGAAAACTAAATTAATTTATTTGAAATCAAAAGATTGTGATAATACAATCTTTATTTGGAATATTTTGATTTTTTTTTTCTTGTAACTTAATTTTTTTTGTGGGCATTAATGCAATATTCTACTAATTAATATTTATTTTATCTTGTATATTTTTCCAATAAAATACAAATTTTAAGTACTATGATAAATAATTATAACAGATAAGGAGTTTGTGGTGGTTGTACCAATGAATTGTACCTTACCAAAGTATCAATTATGAGTTATATTAACCCAACCATGATTGAAAAAAATTGATAATCAATTTTCATTGACACATAATTTCTTATGTTCATCATGGCAATTATGTGTAAGAAAAGAGGTAGAAGCCTAGGATTCTATCCTTTCACCACAAATTGTTACCCCAAAATAAGAATGACCACAAACTCATATGATTACATAATGGCAAGCTTTGATTTGAGAACAAAATAGCAACACCACTCCTTTTTCACTCACTTTATTTCTCTCAAATACTTTGGAGTAGAAGCTACATATATTAGTCCTGTAAAATTGACACCTTTATATATATATATATTTTTTTTTTTCCAATTATACTAATTAATTCAAACACTTCTTCTAAGTAGGCATATTAAGATGTATCGAAACGTGGCCCGACCAGGCCCGGACTCTACACGGACCCGGCTCGGTCAAACCCGTTGACCACGGGTTCGAGCCCAAGTGGATTTTCAATGGGCCGTTTCAGGGTCATTTTTTGCCAGGCGAGCTGGGCCGGGTCCGGGCTGTGGCCTTTTTTTTTATTTTTTTTATAATATTTTATATTTTTTGTTTTAAAAAATGAACCGGTCCGGACCCAGCCCGACCATTGACCCGACACGATCATAAGTCTGTGCCGGATCCAGGTCCCTGTTTTTTAGCCCGAATTGAAGGCCCGGAGAACCGGGTCGGGCCGTAACCCAGCCGTATTTTGGCCATGTCTAGATATATCCATCGAAATGTGTTAAGACTTTGAGATCCTTGAACCATAATATGTGTGGTATGTTAATCTCTTGCCACATCACCTGGTGAACATAAACACGATACAAAATAATTACTGATTTGTTTTTTTTTTTTTTT